TAAATAAATATACCATTTGCTATAATTTTGCATACTCCTAAACCTATTAAAACAATATTTTGCTTAAATTTTCATGTACTTGAAATATTGCACGACCAATTCATTAAATTACTGTTCACATATTGTATTCAGCGAATGCATTCAATCTATGCCCGACTTATTTTAATCGTACATTGGTTATAGCTGAAGCTAATATTCTCCGCCAAAACTATTTATGAAAGAAGTTATTGATATTTACGACGATTTTACATGCAACATTAGAACGTATGCATAGACATATAAAAAAATATCTTGCCGTTGAATAAATGCTTCCAGGCGCGCTGTCTGGTGCAATTTAAACTGTTCCTTTTGATCCGTATCATGACGTTTTGCTAATGCCATCTTCTCCATTTCACTTAATTTATGTCCTTTGGTTGCAAAAAGTCGTTCTGCTCTTTCCTTCAGCGTCCTAGAAAAGTAACACTTTGGAAGTTACTATATTAAATCAACACTTTGGAATGAATCGATTGATTTTAATTTCCAAATTAATTTGAGAACTATGCTTCAGATAAGGATGTAGTGAAATTCGAAATTCACCAACTAAAATCTTAACGCCAATGAATCTCTATTTTTTTCCTTGTTTGTCATTTTCTAGCTAAATCAAATTCGACGAACCCGCCACATTTTAAACCAAGAGCAACAAGAGCAGATTTTAGACGATCAAGTCCAAGTGCTTCCAAATCTGTTGCTGTCTCGAATGACGAAAGATCCAAGTAAGCACCAGAATGGGCTAACGCACTATGTTGATCTCGACTCCATCCTGGGACTGTGCCTGAACAATGAATTACATATTTTTTCCCACCACGATCATTATTTGTATTCACTTAAGTCCATATTCTCTTGAAAATTAAAAGATATAATTTAAAACAGTTGACGAGAGAAATTTAAAAAATGGCAGACTGACATACCCTCCTCCCATTTCTTAGCAAATTCAGCATCAGTTTTCTCAAATTCGTCATTCACATTAAGCAGAGGTCGCGTCCTTGCGAGAAAATTAACCAGATATTCTTTCAGAGAGTTAAGATATTCACGGTAGCTGCCAGTTTTTTTTGAACTCACTGGAATATCCTCAAAACGATCAAAGATACTCAGGAATGCCAGATAATCCATTCGCTAAAAAAAATGAAATAAAATAGAACAGGCGACGAAATGTAATTGGAATAAAAAGACTGTATTCATTCTAAAACAATGGCAGCCCCAAAATGTTTTTCTTATGCCGAAAACTTTCCTTCGCCACGTGTCCTTATCTCAATTATAGAATTGATTTGAACGAAAAGAAAGGATATTGGTATGAAAGTTTACAGGATAATTTTTTTTTCACATTTTAATTCAGGATAATTCAGCCTTCCCCTCTCCCCTCCTCCCTTCCCCCGTCCCCTCACCGCACATTTATTTGGCGTAGGCTCCATTTTATATTGTGGTCACCAAATAACATCTAATTTAGCTATTAAGTTTTCAATAATTATTTCATATCTGAGCTTGCTCTGACAGTGCATTTGGTACAGCTGTTCCTTACTATAGTTCAATTCAGACGATAAGATAGGTGAAGTTACTGACGAAATTCGATTTAAAAATTACAAAGAGAAGCAAAAGGTCCAAAAAAAGCGAAAATTAAATTATAATTCATCAAATAGTCGAAAAGTGGCAAACCTTCATTCCCTTAATGTTAATATATTTATCGTAAAGAGTATGCAAATCCAGAAATCTCCCATAGCCTTCTTCATCGGTAAACTCGATTACATCTTTTTCAGCTAATTCTATATTTTCTATAGCTTCATTCATCTTTTGAAATTCCAGACTTAATGGTATGGCAATCTATAAAGAATTACACAAAGTTATATGAGAAAAGAAGTTAGGAAGTTACGGTGTTTTATTTCAAATATCGCTTCTGTACATGAATACTCTAAATCTAATTTCAATCACCGATAGCATTTTGAGATTTCAAGATTAAAAAATTACGATGCAACCATGAGATGACAGAAAGATTAGCATGATAAATGATATTACTAAATGTGATGACTCCAAAAATACTTGTATCATCAATATTTCAAAATACTAAAACAGGTTTTGACAGACCTCATCTGGATTTCTTCTATGTGCATCCTTTAATGATTTCAGACGTGAGTAAAACTCCGCGAACTCATTTGGGCCAGCAATAGCACGTAATTCCAACTTGCGCGATTTGTCATCATCTTCATATATAAGCCGTAATTTTTTCGTAATTTCATGATATCGCTAAAAACGAAAAACAGATAAATTTATACCACAGTCGAATATAGATTTAAAAAAATCAACAAATCAACTTTTAACTAAATTAAAAGTAAAAAAAAAAAACAAGCAAATGATAAATAAATGAGTAGGAAAATAAATGAGTCTAAGCTTGACTGAAAGCAAAAATTTATGTTACATAAAACCATGCATGCTACTGAACCCTAATTAGATACTAATTTTTTTAGATAGGTTTGCTAAAACAACCTTACATCAACAAGACGTCGAACACGGTGATCACCATTTACTTTCTCTTTATGCTAAAAATAAAAAATTTATTAACTTGGGTTAAATGCGGCAAATAATTTTATTTGCAGAAATGCTCCAGAAATCCCAAAATATTTCAAAAAAAGAATTTTGGAAAAGAATGAGTGCGTATTGATAAGGGAAAGAATTAAGCAATTCAAAAACAACAATCAGCATTTTAAGCTAAATAAGCTAAGCACATTTTTGGTGTACTGAATCAGGAAATGATCCATATTCAAATTATAAGGTGAAGCAAACATACAGATTTGCGTTCATGAAGATACTCTTTGGTCATACTGTCAATCAGGCGATCTCGTTCCTCATGCAAACGTCGCTGAGTTTCCAAAATAGTCTCCATATCTATAACGCAAGTCTAGAAAATATCATTAATATTATAATTAGTTTATTATAATTATAAAAATAAACTTCTTAATTCTTTTGAAAATTCAGATAGAATTCGAAATAAATCATACTGAAAACATAGTCATGTAAAACCCAAACTTCAAACTTATTAAAAAAGTTCAGTAATTATTAAATAAACAATTAATTATCAAAGATTTTGTCGTCTTCTTTTCCAAACTATGTAGCGACATCCTCACAACAACAATCATTTGTTTATATCATAAGACTTATTTTAACAAGTAATATAATATAATATTGCAATTTTCGTACATTTGAAATTAGAATATCAATTTTTTGCTTTAATTTTTCACTGAAATTTATTAATATTCTAACATAATCACTTGCTTGTGCTATATTACTTTCGTAATTTCCAATTTATTTAATATTTACTTTATTAACACCCAATACATTCTCTTATTATTACTATTATTGTGACGCAAAAAATCAGTACAAACTTTTTCAAATTACTTTACTTCACACAGTATATTTAATACAGTCTTAAATTCCTTAATTCTTATCAATCTTTCTCATTCTCCAACCTTAAATCAACCAATTCTTATCAATCTTTCTTATCCTCTAACCTTAGATCAGCCAGTTCTTATCAATTTAATTTTTCAACCTTATATCAACCAGTTCTTACCAGTCTTTCCCTAACCTTAGACCAACCAATTCCTACCAATCTTTTTCACTCTCTATCAACCAGTTCTTATCAGTCGTTCTCATTCTCTAACCCTAGATCAGCCCGCTCTTATCAACCTTAAATCCTCTTTTTTAAGCTGATCTATTTCCTGAAACTGAAAGACAACACGACACACCACCTCGCCCAACACAATAAAATACGCAGATAACACCTCCCGAAGTATCCCGAAACATTTCAAAATCTGGACTGGACGGCACCGCGAAACATCGAAATACTGGTCCGGCCATATTTCTTTTCTGTAGAATTGCTCAATTGTTAGTTTCTTTCGAGGTTTGGAAGGGATTGATAAGTTAATTTGGAGATTTTTAAATATTTTAGCTGCTTACTAAATTTTTTTCTTTTTATTGACGATTAGCTTACAGATTTTCAAAAAAAAAACAGTTTATTAAGCCTGATTGCCATATTAGGTTAAAATGTTAGATTTCCATTTAATAGTTGATTAATTTAAAAGATTTTCAGATTCATCAGTTGCGTTGTTTTTGTTAAAAACGAGAGTTTTTCAGCACGACTGATTGTTTCTTTTTGGAATTTGGGGAATGGAAGTTTGCGAAGAAATTGGAAAAAAATATGAGTTTAGTGGCATTATTGCGGCTCATCTTTCTGATGTAAAATGTATTGTTGCAACCAATTTAGGACAGATAATTTCTGGTAGTCGTGATGAATGCGTTAAAGTTTTCTCAGAAAGGTTATATTTGTTCATTTACATATAAAATTCATCAAATAACGGTAATTAATTGCAGACAGCTGTATGATAGCCAAAATTCATCGGCAAATTGCTAGAATATTATTGTAATAATTGACTACTTATCAGTTAATACTCGGAGATGATTTGTCAATTTTAACATCGACGAATAACAAAATGCGTGATTAAGTGATATTAAAATATATAGCAATATATACCTTTAATCTTTGGTCTAAATAGATACTTGATTTATGTAAGAGTGCAGTGATTGGAAAGAAAAGATGAACTAGTAATTTATATTCGTTGTAGTTGAGACTTCAAGTATCATGGTTAAAAGTTACTCCTCTATTTCTGAATTTCGCTGGATTCCTATCAACTCAATATTTTCAGAAATAACAGTTACGTGGAAGACGTATCATTGACAAATTTTGAAAGATTAGCAGTTAATGCAATAGCATTTTATCAATGTACAAGATATGGATGGTTAATTTTTGCTGGTCGTAAGGATGGCTCAATCGCGGTATATGCATCCAATAACGATAAACCGATACGTGTGTTGCGTGAACATAAAATGAATGGTTTGCTTCGTTTTTCTCTACAGAACTGTTCATAGTTATTAATGCTATTAAAGTTTACTTTGTTGAAATAAATTTTATTAAAGTCAAACTAGGAATAAATTTTCTACCTCCTTTTTTTGAATTACAACGTAAGTAGATAAAGGAAAAAAAGAAAGAGATAAAGAACAACACGGAGTATGAAGAGCAAAGAAAAAGGAGGATACAAAAGAGTGAGCGATTTTAAAATTGACAAGAATAATGCAAATTTTTAGTTTGTACGCTATATGTTGATGCTGAAAATGGAAAATTAATGAGTGGCTCGTGGGATAATAATGCAATAATTTGGCCAATTCAGGAAATCATTAGCGGTTCGGATTTTAATGTATGTGTTTTCATTCACTTCAATCGAAGAAATTCGTATTTTTTTAAAGACAATTTTTATTATCTATAGTTATTCTACAATAAGATGTACTATAATCTTTACGCTATTGAATTTTAACTGCTTCTATCCATCGAGCTGTGTGAACTGTACAGGTAGAGGAACGAAAGCGAAATTCAAAAGTAACTAGAATTTTCCCAGCAAGATTTGTGCAAGTTGTTATTTCTTTGTGTTAGAGTCTTTGAATTTTATTCTATTTTTTACAGGCACTCTGTTTAGTAGGTCATAAATTGTCTGTTTGGGCAGTCGTCTCCATACCTGAAAGATCCGACTTTTGTCTCACTGGTTCAGCGGATTTGACAATTAAATTTTGGAAAGGTGATAGTGAAGTAAACTCATTTTCTGGTTCGTTTTAATTGATGTAATTTTTATGTTATATAAACTCTAATTTAGAGTAAAGCTGTCCATCTGTGATATGTACGAAGTGATATATAATGTTAGCTGTTAAATTTTCTTGCTCATCCATTTTCACCACCATTTTTATCTTATATTCATATATTCAGAGCTATCTTTATAATTTTCGATTTGTTAAATTTGGAACTGAAGAACATCTATTACATTTTAAAGCATTCATTTCTTTTCAGGTCATGAAGATGTTGTACGAGCCCTTGCAGTATTATCGAAGCATAGATTTCTTTCTGCTGCCAATGATTTCACGATTCGCTTATGGGATATCGATTCTGGTATTTGCCTTCAAAAATATAGTTCATTAAGTGGCGAATATATATACAGGTATTTTATGAGAATGAATTATATTTTATGAATTCATATCCTGATAACATCAATCAACACTTTAACATAGCTTGTGAAATTCGGATGAAAGCAACTCTCTTAATGGATGAGCACTTAACCGAAGTCTAAAGTGCTTTGTTTGTCTTGCTTCGTCAGTTATGATCAACTGAGCCTTATTTTCAATTTTTGAAAAATTCTTTTGTTTCAGCTTGGCACATGCTAACATATCAGGACATAATTTGATAGCTAATTCTGGTGAGGGTGGTTTCCTGGAAATATGGGATGTGAATGATGATGGTTCACTAACTCACAAACAGTTGATTAGGACGCCAGCACAAAGTCTTTGGTCTCTTACATTCTTAAAAAATGATGATATCGCAGTTGGTGCTGAGTAAGTTGGTTTTAGCAATTGTGAAATAATTCAGGGCCCAAAGTTAAATAAATCTTATTTTGAGTTCATTTAAGATATTTGTAGTGAAACTGTGGTTTGTTTGTCAGTTTAGTAAAAGAATTACATTTGTTATCACTTTCATAATATCTATTATTTCAGTGATGGCAATATTTATATTTTCTCTACCGTTGCAAATCGAAAAGCAGATGCTAATGCGATGGGATCATTCCAGTGTGCTGTTGCTAAGAAGATTGCTGAGGCCGAAGCAATTCTGGCTGCTCAGGTCAAATTTGAACCAATATTTCGATATTAATTCAGTCGATATTGAGATATAACAGATTAATTGACATCATGCAGTCTCAGAATTTGCTGCATTTGTGCTATCTTTTTAGAAGCTTGTTTTGATGGCTTTGGAAAAAACATTTGAAACACATTTATTTTTGTCCATGATATGTTTGCACCTTGTATTTTTTTCGAAACAACTGTATTAATTCGTGGATTTTAGCAGAATGAAATAGTTAAAATCAAAGTAGCATTGGATGATGGAGAACCTCATATCGAGTTGCGATATAAAAAAGGATCAGATCCATATGATGCTGCGCAAACGTTTTTGATGGTTTGCGATTTCTTTTCATTCTACTGTTTGACTTGATTGCTACATTTTATTTAGTACTTCGTGGAGCCATAGTGCAATTTTAATTTTAACAATTTTTAGTGCTTCAGGAGAACAATTTGCCTGCATCGTATATGAATGAAGTTGCGCAATATATTATCGAGAATATACCAGAAGCACGTCAAGCAACTAATAAGAAAATGGCGCAGACACAGTCGACTCAAAAAGTTCTCGTGGATGGAAAGGCAAAATTTCAAATTTAAATTATGCGAAGAGCAGAAGAATTCGAAGTTAAAAAAATTGAAGTTACCGTACCAGAATAATTAAGTCTTATGACAATATCAAATCAAAGCGCATTATTACTGATATTCTCATTCTATAGAAGCATTCTGCAAAGTGTCTCTTTAATTCTTCGGATTTTTTTTAGAAATGGGACTATGTATTTGATGTAACAACCGAAGATGGGCGAGTTTTGAAATTACCATATAACGTGGGTGAAGATACAAATTGGGCAGCGCAGCGTTTTATTGAGAAACACAATCTTCCTATAAAGTTTTTGGAGAAAGTTAGTGTTAGCTTTTTTATTTTTTGTCAAGACATTTAGTCCGTTCAGCACTTTAAAATTTTTCAGTAGGAATTAAAAATAAAATTTGATTGCTGAAAATATTAGGAACTAATAATTGTAATTTGTTAAATCTCAGGTCTCTACGCTTCTTCGTCTTCAAGTTCCTAAGACATTTGACAACGCCAACAGTGGTGGAATTGGCAATTTCAGTGATCCCTTCACAGGTTGAAAGTGTTTCAATATTTAATAAATTTATTTTTCAAAAGAAGAAGTTTTCTATGTGTAAAATTTTTGAGGATTCCAGAAAATAGTTTATCATCTGAATTTTAGGAGAGCGTTATATTCCTGGTGCAACCGAAAATCGTCAAACTTCAAATGGGGTAAGATCTGTAGCGGATCCTTTTACTGGCGGAAATGCATACGTTTCAAATTCTACTGCAATGATGTCAAATGTTCATTCACCGATCGGTGAGTTCGTTTTCCTTTTTTTTGACAAAATCATTCCTAAAATATGTCATATCCATTACAGCCGTCAATATGTCAGTATGTTTGATTTCAGTGAGTTGGGAAGAGAATGGAGTAGAAAAAAATTTTCGTGAAATTATTGCAGGTTTACTAAGCAACATTCTTGTAATTTTGTTTATTTTGGTTTCTTAACTATTTTCAGATAAAAAACGCCCACGTAGTGAACTTGTCCCACTACCCAATTTCTTTCAATTTGGTATCGAGCAATCCTCAAGTAAAGCGATCACAAAACTCAGAGAATTAAACGAGATGCAA